ACACAAACTCTGAGGTAGCTCCAGGTCACACCTGACAGCTGTCCTTAGACTGTATGAGGAGCAGGCTCCCCACACCCGCAACTCTATCTGAGAGTCCTGTGCCCTACAAGGGACCATGATGTCCAAGGCTGCAGGACCAGAGTGGAATGGGTGTCTGTCCGGTGCACACAGTGTCAGCTATGCCTGATGACACACACAGCTCTCATGGGCACACAGACTCAGCATTGTGTTGTGCCGGGTGTGAGGGAGCAGTTACAGCAGGAGCCAGCAGCCCACCTCATTCATGAGGGCGTGCTTTGTGCCTGACAGCTGGCCCAAAAGATTGCCGTTAATCCTTCATGCGCTTGCTTTCCATAATAAAGCATATATCATAAACTCGCAGCTTTGGTGCTATGATGTTTTCAGCGTGCCATTCCATAGCATGGCAGTGAGCTGCACTGCCCAGATGCCCTTACCTGCCCCCCCCCCCCACTCAGCCTAGATGGAGACATTGCGTCATACCCCTGCTTCCCTCTGGCGCAGGGGACGGACCAGCGCCTGGGGCTTCTGTGCAGCATACATTCTTTCTATTTCCTGACTAATAGGAAACAAGAGGCCCCTTCCTACCCGGCTCTCAACGCCACACGAGAAATGCAGACACAGGCGGTCTTCAGATGTCTAGCCCTGGGGCTTCTGTGGACACCGTGAGGGGTGGTATGGAACTTCATTTGAGGAGGCAGTTGTGGGGAACCCCAGAGAAGGGCCAGCAGAATATGACTCTTGGATCACTCCTCTGCCAGAGGGACAGGCCGCTCTGCCTCAAGCAGTTCTTAGCATCACCAGTGGCTTCCACCTTTGAGTGATATGTGGCCCAGCTGCCTCATTCATGGGCAGATACCATGTCAGGTGTGGGACTGTGACAATGTGCTTTGGACAGGAGGCAAGGGCCTGCCACCTTGGGGTCCGCAGGTGGCAGGAGACACTCCGTGCCCTCTCTCCCTTTGTGCCGACCCGTGCAACACTGTCCCCCAAACACCGGGCTGAACTCTGGCTTCGAGAGTGAGGGACATAAACAAAATAGTGTCACTGGAATGGTAATTCTCAAGTCTCTGTCCATACCTGTCCAATAAAACAGGCCTCAACCCCCAGGCTGGGAGTGTGGTAATTTGTGAGTAGAGCTGGTGTCCCAGTCCAGACAACCAATAAGAAGGAGGCAGAGGGCAGAGTGGAAAGGGAGTAGCAGTGAGGTGCCAGAACACCATAGGAAGTACATAGGGTCCCCCCAAACCCCAATCCTGGCTCATTCTGCATCTCGAGAGAGAACCTTGGCAATCCGACTGAGACTGTCAGGGCTCATGTTCCTTGTGGACATGTAGAAGCTCCTTGCATTCGTCTTGTCCCGGCGACCGTTCAGATCCAGGAAGACCTGAGGTGGTCAGCGAGATGTTCAGACAGTGCGGGGCTGAGGGATTTTTAAACAGGTCCTAACAACACAATCTACAGGACTCCCCAGTGCAACCACACCCACTGCTTGTCCGGCCTCTGGATTGCTGGCCCAGGTCCAGCCCACGCTCAGAGTCCCTGCCCCTGTGTGGCAGGTAAATTACATTCTCTGGCATTTACTGGGCAGCTGTGTTTGGGACTGTGCCTTTCATGTCATGCTGGGCAGTTGGGGTTGGGTTTTTACAGATCTTATAGGCCGCTTTATGGGAGAGTTGCCTTGGCCTTGGGACCTGGCTGGGGACACAGTGCCATGAACAGAGCAGCTCAGTCTGGAAATAATTCAGCCTTCAAGTCATGTCAGGTTTTCTTGGTTTTTGGGTTTTTTGTTTTGTTTTTTTAATCACAAGCTCTGAAAATGACCAGTCTTGTTTAGAATTGAACCTTCACATGCAGACATTGGCTTTGAGTGGAGGGACTCCTACCCTGACTCCTTCTTGCTGGTCTACTTCTGCTCTCAGTGACACTGGTGACTGTTCCCGACCAGGCCTGTGCTCACAGAAACTGGCTGGACACTGCTTTGCCCCAGGTGCCTCTCAGGGTCTGCCCTCTACTGGGTTCTCGCCAATTCTGGATTTACAATGTGGTTGAGCCAGCTGGACGGAGACTGAGTGGGGGTCGTTCCTGAAGCATGGCTTACCCCCACAGAGCTGTCTAGACGGGCTCGTGCCTGGAGCTGAGTTAGTACCTGAATAACACATTTCACTACAAGCTGTAGAACCCAGACGGCCAGGGGTTTCCTCCTCCTCAGCGGCTCCTGGGAGCTACAGTCCTTAGGAAGGGTGGGGCCCACAGCCGATTTCATATATTCGACTTTCTAATGTCAGAGGGATGGGTTTCCCTTCCTTCCTTTTTTGTTAAATGCCAGGATGTCCGCCACCCTCGTTCTTAGCAACGCCTCCCATCCCGCAAAGCAGTCTGAGGACATTCCCAGAAAGGAGGCTGTTACCTGCCTGCAGCTATGACTCCCATGGCCTAGGCAAGAGGACAGATAGGGTGGCTGATGAGCTGACCGAGGCCTTCACTGGAACGATTTTCTGGGCAGCACTGAGTGAAAGAGCACTTGCCTTGGGCCCCCTACTCCTCATCACCCCTTTTACCACCACAGCTCCAGAGGCAGCTGATGACTGTTGGGGCTAAGGGCTTAGTGGCTAAAGCACAGATGGGGAGGGTAATGGGGAAGACTGGGGAGGAGCGCTTCCAGATCCCACACTGATCAAGACACCAAGTGCCTGTCTATAGGCCATCAGGAGCCTGAGTCACCTCCATCTCAACATGCGCCTGGCCTTCTGGTGTGACTAAGTCCACTCCCCTCTCTCCAAGGGTGCCTCCCTCCTTTGACACCCAAGGGTGGCTTGGAGGTCAGCTCTGGGGTCCAGGCAGGTGGACCTTTACAGACCTTGTTGGGAGGCAACCCATAGAGCCCACTGCCAGGCACCTGTCCCTCCTCTGAAGCGCTTGACTCACAGGAAATGCTGGCAGCACCTCCCTTACTCTCACGCGGCCATCTGACCTCTGATTCCCAGCCAGTTGTCCTGGCATCATAATGTGTGTATCGTCGCTGGCATGAATCCAGCATAAGCCACCTGGTTTCCAGAGCCATAGTGGGCACATGTGGCAAGGTGTCATGGGCAGGGGCTCTACAGCCTCTCTTGGAAGGCTATTGGGGCACCACACAAAGATCAGCCCTGCATTAGCTGTTGCCCTTGGCTCACCCTGCTCAAGTCACACTCTCTGAACGAGCCACTCTGGGGTCGGTCATCCTGGGGTCACACCTGGGGTCACCTGGACTTGCATGCAGAGCACTGACTGGAGGACTCACACTACTTCAACCAAGTGTGGTTTTGGGGCTGAATACAAGAGTCTGAAGCTGAGAGTCTAAGCAGCATGAACCGCTGCCGTCCACCCTGATGGAATGTCTGTCAGCTTCTTCAGAGACACAGCCGCTCCAGAGCCTGCCTCACCCACTCAAGCCAGAAGTCTTAAAGAGCAGAATGAATGAAAATGGGATGAGGGAAGCTGCAGCAGCCAACAGCTCTGTTGCCTTCTGTGGCCATAGAGACTGAGCCGCTGATGCTTGAGTGTCCCACAAACCTATCACTGGGAAGAAGGCACACAGAGCAGCAAGCTACAACTTATCCCCAGCCCAGGTCCTGGCCAGAACCTCCACCCTACAGTGGGGGCCGTTCTGTGTGGGAGGCTGCCCTTCCCAGGAAACTCCCAATGGAGGCAGGCTTCAGAAGAGTTCCACATTCGTGGTTCACAGCAGCTGGTTGTGCAGAGGCCTGGTCCTGATGAAGAACAGATGCACATTCCTGCTGGCTCAGACCATGGCTAAAGATTATTTTCCTCAAAATGCAGATATGCTTTTATTTATTCACGGAGAAGCTGGGCCTCCCTTTGTGGCGTGCGTGTTTGTACGTGGAGTGTGTGTGCCTCTTGAAGAGGCCTCAGTGGTTGGGCCGTCCCTCACGTGGCTGACCTGCTGCCAAACCCACCCATGCATAGCGTGTGAAGAGGAGAGACATGCTGGAGAACTCTGTAGCTGCTCGTCGTGCGCATGGCTCACGCTGCACAGTGCCGCTGAGGGCCACCTGCAACAGTGGCCAGGAAGCAAATGGGAAGAGTCAGGTCCTAGTGTCTGCTTGCCACCTCTTCCTCTGACATTGTCTTTCTAATTCTCCTGTAGAAACTGAGCCCCTGAGCAGAGAAGCTTGCTGTCTGCTCTGGCCACGGCCTGGGGCTGGTTCCAGGCCACAGAGGCTGCATCTTCTCTGTGGCTCTTCCCTATACTGAGAGCCTTTTTGTTAAAAGTGGAGAGGGGAACTGGGAGGCCCTGCTTGGGGCCTTCTGTGGGTTTCTTAGGGCTGTGGGTTTCCGAGGGCGCTGGGGTCTCCTGTGGCTGAATGGCCTCCTGGGGCTGTGGGGTTTCCTGGGGCCTCTTGGTCTCTTCTCCTGGGGCTGCTGGTCTCCTGGAGCTGGCTGTAGACTCCTTAGTTGGGTGTGTGAGCCAGGAGGGCTGCATGGAGATATGGTACACTCGCCCACAGGAAAGGTCCTTCTGGTTCGATGTCTCCTGGCTTCTCTGCTTCCTCAGATGCTTATCCACCTCAGCTTGCTCACTGAATCCAACCCAGTGCATGCTCAGTTCCCACACCCGCAGAACTGACTAAAGGCATCGGTAGCAGCGTTACAGCAATACCTCCAAGCTGAAGTTTTCACTTTGATTGCTACAAATCCACGGGCCCTCAGGCCCAAAGCTCCTACTGCCGTTTTGCAAATAGGTTTTTATAGCACGCTAGTGCTGGGGGAGATTCCAAGGAAAATAGTCCTCTTCGTATTAGAACCAGCTGTGACTTTCTCAGCCAGTGACTCACCCTGTTTTTAATTGGGTGGGAGAACCGGCAGAGACAGAGGGGCTCAGTCTGGGCACTGTTTGTTTTGCACGGGGTATCCTAGCCACAGCGTAGCCTACCCATCTGCAACTTATGTTTGTTTAACTGTTTCTTCCCTCCTCACAGTTCCAATTATAAAGACAGAACCCACGGACGACTTTGAGCCAGCTCTGACCTGTGGACCAATGAGCCAGGGGCTTAGTGCTCTGCCCAGGCCCTACTATAGCCAACAGCTCACCATGCCTCCCGACCCCAGCTCCTGCCTCGTGGCTGGCTTTGCCCCCTGCTCACAGAGGAGCACACTGATGCCCACACCTCCCAACGCAAGCCCAAAGCTGCACGACCTCTCCTCTACTGCCTACCCCAAGGGCCTCACCAGCCCCGGCCACAGTGGTCACCTTGGACTTCAGCCACCAGCTTCGGAGGCCCCCACCATGCAGGAAGTGCCGAGACCCATGGCCATGCAGCCCAACTCGCCTGAGCAGCCCCCACCCGCCAGGCTGCAGCCGCAGGTGAGTCCACATCTGAACAGTAGCTGTTCCCTTGGTTGCCAACAAGTGCTCTGTCCCAACAGCCCCTCTTCTCCACTTCCGTCTGCTGCCCACGAGCCAACCTGCTTACAGCCCTCAGCCCTCCCTCCTGACATGGGCCGCCAGCAGCAACAACTGCAGAAGGTTCAAAGAAATGAATCTCCAGCCGCACTGCCAGAGGTGCGTGAGGACAGTGATCATAATTTGGCCCCTATTCCTGTAGTGATCAAGCAAGAGCCTGAGGAATTGGACCAGTTATACCTGGATGATGGTAAGTGCCTGCACTCGAGCAGGTGTGCGCACAGCCACTGGCTTTGGGAAGGAAGGGGTGACACGGGTGGAAGACAGCTCCCAAGCTGTGCAGTGTAGTGTAGAACTGTCTCCACACAGCAGGCTGCATGTCAGTGTTTCTGCTCCGGCCATCTTGGCGACTCCTGCCTGGGCCATATTGGCTCAAACTTAAGACTCTCAGATTTGGTGTCGAAAGCAAAGCCCAGGTTGACTGCCCAGGTCAACCTCAGAAAGTCACAACAGAAAAAGAAGGCCTCTCCCAGAGTGTGGCCATTGTAGTTCAAGCATCTAGAAGCTTCTTAGAGAAAAGTCTCTAAATGAACGCCTGGTTCAAGGCAGCCATGTAAAAATGTTCAGATGTGACAACACCGTGAGCCAGTGTGAGGCCAGTGGATGGGAACTATGCCAAGGTGGCTTTGTCAGCATGTGCGATCTCCTTCCAGGACAGGGGAGCTTGCTCTGGGCAGAGACATACCTGGATAAGTGTGTCCAGCTGTGCCCAGACCACTTGTGGTGGGCACAGGATCTGTGAACACTAACGCTTCTTTCTCTGTGGTGACAAGGTGTGCCTTTGTTCTGCATGTGTTTGTTACTCTTCTTTTGGATTCCTCACTGTCCCTGCTGAGTGATAAGAGTCTTCCTGATCACATGACTGTCACAGTGGCCAGACATGTGACTGAAGGCCAAGAGCACGGCCCACTGGGAGTGGGTTCAGTGGTGTTTTCCAGCTTGCTCGGGTTGTTTGTGGGAGTTGGGGCTCCCTCTGAGGCCAGCTGGTCTCCCCAGATGTGGGCTGTTTCCCAGGCCAGGTGCATAGCAGCACACGTGGAGCAGGTCCAGCTCCTCGCTGCACCTGGACTCAGGTGAGGCCCGGGATGGCACCAGGGCTCGCTCGACTCCACAGCTCTGAGGCTGAGGCCTTGCAGCCTCTCACTCGCAATTCCCTGAAATTCTGCCCAAAAGGCTGATGACCCTTTTGTTTCAAGGGAAACTCTGAGAAGAACATTTGAAAGAGGGTGCTGTCCTCTGGCTTCTGGGACTTCTCCTTGATGCCGAAGGCATAGGGTGAACTGGGTTGGGGATGAGAGACTATTCCAAGCTCCCTGTGGACAAGCCCAGTGTCACTCCACCCCCAGGCACACGGTTAACAAGGATCTTATATTCTGGGATTATAAAACTTCTTACTGAACATTGTTCTCCTCTATATTCCTAACTTAGAGCTTTGGAGGATTGATTCATGCAAAATTTTTGCTCAAAAATCTATTCAATTCTTGAACCTAGAACCTAGTGTCCTGCTCTTTGGCACATTTGCTGGGCATGCTCATGTGCCTCTGAATAAGCCCTCACAGACTTTTGGGAGGCTTCCTGCCTCCCTGGTTCTCTAATCTTTGGATCCGTGTTGGAGGACTGTGGCTGCCCTGAGAAGTTTCACTTGGACTCAACCTCATACATACAGTTCTCCTTCCATGTAACTGTGGGGCTGGGGTAACAGCGATGCTTCCCAGCGCTGCTTCCTTAGCAGGAAGAGTCCGCCTGTGTTCCTGGTACCTGCTCAAGTGGACACTGGCCAGGGTGGACACTGGAGACTACATCTAGACTACATCTCACCTTCTATGGTGCCTCAGGGAGGGGTGGTGTGGGCCTGTGGGAGCATTGTCCTCTGGTCAGAGGCCAGCCCAGAACTCCCACATCTGGGCAGTGCCCTCTGGCCCAGAGACAGGAAGCTGATCTTGGCCAGGTTTCCCACTGACCCAGAGGCCACTGTGGCCGACGTCAGACAGGCCTTTGTTGTGGGCATTGAATGAGAGCAGGTGAGCCTTTGGGGAGGAGGGGACACTGCGTCCAGGAAGCCACAGAGCAGAACTCGGGACTTGGGCTGCCCACACGTGGCACGGGATGTATTTTGTTGAGTTTTACGACGTGCCCTGAGAGAACATTTGAGAGTCTCCCATATCGGGGTGCAAAGAAGGGGTGCTGACTTAGAAAACAGGAAACCTCTAAAGGAAATGAAGGGTAAGAAGAGGAGCCTCGTATTAGGCATGGGGACATGTCCTGGATGCTGTGTCTTTTCCAGTGGGTCTCAGTTTTACTTCCCCAGGGAAGGAGCAGAAAGAGAGAGGCAACAAAGACAGACAGAGACACACACACACACAGAGAACGAGGACAAACTGAAACACTACAAAATCTAACTCAGAAAGTCAGACCCTGTTTTTCCAAATTTCTTGCTTGCAGTCATTCTTCATCAATTTACCCAGTGTGGAGAGCTACATTATGGAAGATACACTTTATTTAAAAGTAGGAAGGCCGAGGGGGTGGGGGCAGGGATGGGGGTGACCCTCTCCCAGTCATCAGGTTGGGTCCCTGGGACATGTGAGAAGAGTGTGGAGCAGGCTTCAGACTCCTGCTTCCTCCTGGAAGCTCACTCTCCAGCGAGCAGGAAGTGCCCACAACTGTCTCCAGGGCGGTGTCTAGTCTGGAGTACAGTCACTGTTGGAAGGGACACAGGGACAAACTGGTGACCTGGAGGCCCCCAAGCCGCAGGACACGTAGTAAGAAATCTGAGGGAGGAGGAGTGGCTAACTGATCACCAACAAGCCCTTCAGTGCCTAAAGGTCTCCTTTAATTGTGTCTGCTGGCTTCGGGGTTCACACTATGCCATGTTATGGCTGCTTGGTCTGAGAGGAGGTAGGAAGAGTGGATCTTATTTACGTAGTGGTTTTCATGTGGGTGGGTTGGTTTTTTTGTTATTGTTGTTTTGTTTTGTTTTTGGCATTTTGATTTTGTTTTCTAAACACAAAGAGAAAAGACAGTACTAAAGTATGATATCCAGTCTTTGAGAGCCTGTGAAACTCCCACACAGAAATTCTCAGTGTCAGCACCATGAGGCCATCAGGAAGTCAGTGCGGGGCACAGCACAGCCCCACACAGGGGCTACAGAGCCACATGTTAGGGTTTGGTACACCTCCCAAATCTCTCCTTATCTCAAGGAGTAATTTAAGTTACAGATAGAAAACAAATCCCCCCTTTTCCAGGAGTCCTTTTATTTCTACCTTTAAGTCTTGCTGAGAATGTATTTGACCCATTCATAAGCCGCAGTGAATATGTCTCTGTTCCAACAATCTGCATAAGACTAACTTAAACTTCTCACGGTTAGATTGTGAAGGTGTTACTGCTGTGGCGCTCACACGACTTTAAATGCAGGCGTTTTGACAGGTTCTGCCAACGCTGAGCGTTAGCTGTTTTTGTGCTGTCCTCTTCTGTTGCCTGTCGTGGTCACTCCACTGCGTGACTGTGCTCCACTCTGTCACACATGTGAGTGTGAGCATGCCCTTGCACTAAAAGTTCCCCCTTCGCGCACATCTGGGACTCCTAAGACACCACAAGGCATGCAGGGTTTGTTCCCACATCTGTGCAAAGGGGACCCCGCCACAGAACTGCTTTGGTGCCACGCAGCCAGCCTGCTTTCAGCTCTGTGGCTGAAGCAGCCTAGAGGCTTTAGCCTCTCGGTCTGTCATTGTGCTCCCCCCGCCCCACACACATACCCACACACTAATGGTGACCACCCCACGGTCCTCGCCACAATCAAGCCTTTCAGCTCCATCAGTGGCTGCTGGCTGTCCAGTAGTCTAGATGTCATTAAAACAACGAGCAGGTAGACAAGGCTGCCCAGCTGTGTCTGCTGGCTGCCTGAGTTTCTTTCACTCGCCCTCCCCTTCTTTCCTGAGCTTAAGCTGCTCTGGAAGAGAACAAAAAGCTTTCCTCATGGAAAGTTTGACTAAGCTGGCATGGTGCCCAGGCCCAAGCCTTTCCCCGTTGCTAGCAATGATGGCAAGAGCCTGTATACAGCGATCAAACACACCAAGTCATGAATACTGCAGACACAGGCCACCCCATGACAGATAGGAGAAAGAATTCAGCCATGCGCATATCTCACTGGGCCAATCCTTCATGCCCTGGGGTGCCTGCCTGTGAGTTGGGAGGCACAAAGGTTATGCTACACATCACCAGAGTCTGAGACTGCTGTAGGCACGGTAGACCAGCCAGCTATATAAGTAGCTCTTCGGAGTCCCCAAGGGAGGGATCTCCCAACATTCACCAGTTCACCAGGCCCAGGCCTGTAGCTGCTGCTCCAGAGCTTCCAACTTCGCTGCAGGCCGAGCAAATCACAAAAGGCTAATTCCAAGCCCTTGTGCACACCACAGAGCATCAGGCAAGCAGATGTTAGCATAAGTATTTCAGTTTATATCTAGATGTACTCCCGTAGAGCTGCACTGTGGGGCACGCAGTCAATTACCAGGAAGCTTGCTGGGAAGTACCAGAGGGCTAGTGTGTACTCCAAGACAGAAAGAAGCCGGGCCCGGGCCTCTGCCATCTAGAGGCTCTCTGCCCCTTCCATGCGGACAGACACAGGCAGCCAGTGGGATATGACCAGTCTGCTGAGTCGGACTTTCTAAACAAAGTGTGTTTGGCCACCATTGACCTGTACTGGAGCTGCTGCAGGCCAGCAGCCTAGAACCTGTGGAGTCATGATGTGCATCTCGGTGTTTTCCACATGGCAGAAGGACAGGCAGGACGAGGGCTATTCCACGGACAGCTACCACTTGAGGGACTGAAGTAGAGCATCTCTGGACTCTGAGCACTATTTCCAGTTGCATAGCTTAAACCGTATATGTTCTATGCAGAGTCCTTGG